CTATAATTAATTCATCCTGGCCTTGAACTTGCTGTGTAGCCAAGGCTGGCATTGAACTTGTACTTCTGCCTTCACTTGTCAAACACTGAAATTACAAGCATATGCTACCATGCTCAGTATCTAGGGTGTTGGGGGGGGTCACATCCAGGGATGTATGCATGTTAGGCAGGTACTCTACTAATGGAGCTATCCCTTTAACCCAACATAAGGGTTTTTATTTTTTATTTTTGTTTTGTTTATGTATTTTAATTTTGTTTTTTTTTCCAGACAGGGTTTTTCTGTATAGCTGTAGCTGTTCTGGAACTCTCTCTGTAGACCAGGCTGGCTTAGAACTCACAGAGATCCACCTGCCTCTGCCTTCTGAGTGCTGGGATTAAAGGTGTGCACTACCAGGCTTATTTTTTTTTCTAGATTTACTTATTTTATGTTTGAATTTTTTTTGCTTTTGTGTGTGTATGTGCACACTGTATGTGCCTGACCCAAGGAGTTCAGAAGAGGGCATCAGATCCCCTGGGTCTGGAGTTATAGAGGGTTTTGAATCTCCATGGAGATGCTGGGAACTGAATCTGAGTCCCTGTAAGAGCAGATAATGCTCTTAATCCCTGAGCTGTGTCTCCAGCCCCAAACATTGTCTTGTCTTCTGTTTCTTTGTGATGTATTTAGGGCTCTTTTTCTTTTTTTCGGAGCTGAGGACTGAACTCAGGGCCTTGCGCTTGCTAGGCAAGCGCTCTACCACTGAGCTAAATCCCCAACCCGAATTTAGGGCTCTTTTATTGCTGTTTGTGCATTCTTCCTTGAGCTCTGTGGTCTGCTGGGTATCTCTTCTGATTCAACTCTGGTACCTAGTTCAGCTCATCAGAATGCAGCCTTGCTTCCCTCAGGATGTCCTTGGCCATATGAATTTCCCTTCCAAGTTGCCTAGAGAATTTCTGCTCTGCCAACTCCTGATGGCAGCATGCCATGGCCTGGGCTGATGTTGACAGGAGCTTCTTTGCTTTCTTTTCCCAGTTAGGTGTGGCAGATAGTGGCGTTGCTGCTTTGTTCACTGCCATGGCCTGGCATATTCTTTCCAGTCTGTTTTTATTATATTTATTTATTATATTATATGGTTCATATTGTGCCATTTGTAATTTTATATTTTGTTCTTTTCATTTACTATACATTTTCTGGCTTTGGTATTTCATTAAATGAATATACCTACCGTACCTAATAATTTCATTTCATGCTTTTTCTCCTCCCTCACCCTCCTTTTCTCCTCTTCTTTCCTCTCTTCTTTCTTACAAGGTCTTGTTGTGTTGCCCAGTTGGGCTTGAACTCCTAGGCTGAAGTGGTCTTGTCTTAGCCTTGTGAGTAGCTGAATTGCAAGCACATACCCTGTGCCTGGCAGTAGTTTCATTTAAAAATCAGGTGACGATACTGGTCAAGACTTGTGGGCTTCAAGAACTGTTCAGATTCTTCCCCCTTCCTGCATTGATGTTCTGTGGCTTGAAATGGGTGTATTTGGATCTTGAGGAAAATCTTCAAACAAAAATTTCTACTTACAGTAAAATTTGACCCAGATTTCTTTTTCCCTTTTTCTCATTTGTGTCATCGAACTTAGTATTTTCTTTTTTAAGAGGTATATAGTAGGACACATCTTGGGGCTTTAAGTTACTGTTCGTTCTTTCATATCAAAATTAGGGAAAATTAAGCTAGGCAAGGTGGTGGCGGCGGCCCACTCTTGCATTCCAACATTTGGGAGACAAAGAAAGAGGATGGAGAGTTGAGACTGTCTCAATAAACAACAGTAAAACTAGGAAAGGTAAAATATGTAAGAATTACTGGACCTTTTCCTTATTTATGATTTTATTTCTCCCCTTTATTTTTGGATTATTATTGCTTAATTCAGACATTTTTGAGTAAATGACAGTCATTTTTCTCTTTAGATAGCAAGCATTAAAAGTAGCCACTCTCTTGAAAAACCTAAATAAACAAATGGAGCCACAGAGGCTTGACATGATGGCATGGCAAACGCCTTTAATTCAAGTACCTGGCAGCGTGTGGCAGCTGAATCACTGTGAGAGTTCCAGGTCAGCCTTGGCAACACAACAAATTCTAGATTTGCCTTGACCTGGGCTGGCTATATAGTGAGACCTTGTCCTTTCCCCTCTTCCTGTCCTTGATAAGTAAGTAAGTAAGTAAATAAATAAATAAATGTAACCTTGGCATCAGATGGTTTCTCCCTTAGTACTCAAATGAAGGTAATAATGTATGGGCTATGTTTGTGAAAACTGATAAACTAAAACTCCACATAACTAAATCCCAAAAGAGTCAGTACTGTTGAAAGCTGGTGTTAACACTAGTTAGTTTGTGTGTAGCAGGGAGGGGTGTGACCTGGAAGTCAGTAAGCATGGAACTTGGTGAGAATCATAAGGTTAGCAGTGACTTCTAGTGTTTTGTAGCTACAGAGTGACTTGATCTCTGTATTTTTTTCTTTTTGGGGGGTTTGATGTGGGCTTTGAGACGGGGTTTCTCTGTGTCGCCTTGGCTGTCCTGGAACTTGCCCTGGAGACCAGGCTGGCCTCGGGCTCAGATTTGCTTGCCTCTGCCTCCTGAGTGCTAAGATTAAAGGTGTGTGCCACCACTGCCTGGCAATCTCTGTATTTCTTTAACCAATAAATACTTTCAATTTTAAAATGACAGCTAACATTTTTTCCCTACATTCCATGTTAATTACTTTTTGACTATATCCTAATCACTGTGAACTATTTAGTCATCATGTTAGAAAAGTAATATACCACTTTCATTTGATGAACTTTTCAGTTTGATTTGTGGGTTGCCTGCTAATATATTATGATATACCTATTTGTAAATTTCTGTCTGTTTGGGGTAAATTGATTTTTCTAGGTGTGACGTTAAAGGCATGCTTGTGAAAAGCAGTTATTTTGGCTTTTCTGTTTTGTAGAAATTCAGTATGCTTGGAGTACTTGAGATAGATTCTTTGGAAAATTACACAAAAACAGAATGAAAATAAATAGAGGAGTTATTGGTATACCCTCAAGGATCATGATTCCTGAAATTTCAATATTCCAGTGGAGAGCACCAGTCAGACTTGTGGGTGTGAACTTGGATTTGAACTGTGTAGGTCAGAGCCAGGATGGAGTAGGGAGTAGTGGAAATACAAAGTTTGGCTGAAAAAATATTTTAAAAATAGTTTATGTGAGTGTCTCAGTCTGTAGTCCAGGCTAGCTTCAAACTCATGGTAATCCTCCTGCTTCAGAGACCCAGGTGCTGGGCTTACAGGTACAAACCACCATGCCAGGCTTTAGTTGTAATTTTAAGGGTTGCATTTTTGTTTTTGTTGATTTATTAGTCTTACTTAACTTAAATATAAATATAATGATGAATGGCATGAGTCTTTGTGCATGTGTATGGTTTGGTGGAAGATGTGGATGGGATAGGATGTAGGGAAAAGTATGAACAAAGGGTCTTCTTTCTCTCCATTTATTTTAAATTGCTATGTTACATGGTATTTTTAAAAAAATATGTATATTATAGTATTTTGAGGTGCATGTCCATTGTGGAATGGTTGTTTCCTTCATTTTCAGTGGTCTTGTTTATTTTTGTAGTAGTCAGTAGTGTCAGTAAGTTTAGTGTTATGTGGGAAAACTATTAATTTAACCATTGGGATTTAGCAATAAGTAATAGCAGAAATAAGGGCCTCAAGGACTAAATTTCCTTATGATTTAAGATGGTAATCCCTCTTCCAGTGTTATTCTTCATGTATTCTACATGGTGCCTTCTGATATATTCTCCCACCTCCTTTTTCTCCCCACACCCCCCCCCCAAAAAAAAAAGAAAATAAAAAAGAGAAAGCTTTCAAATGGTCAGATGTCATTGTCTATCTGTAGATGTATCTCAAAATTACACTTTGCCTTTAGTGACATGGAGCTCAAAGCAGCAGTCTTTTCCCCTTCTAGCTGTGAGTTGTACTGATGCTGTCAAATAGGAAGCTAGCCTTGGGATGTGGGGATGAACCAATACAAGGCTTAGTTTAGTATTTGTTAGAGAAATGTATCCTTATTGCAGAGAACTTTGAAAAGAAGATGGAGGAAATGAGCTATAGTTCTAACCATTGCTATAATTTTCTAAGTATTATAAAATCAGTTGTGAATTGAGCAGTAGCTTGAGGGTAAGGAATGACCTTCAAAGATAATCCTGGATCTTGGTTATAATGTGGGCAGATTGCCATTGTTTCCAGTGATGTATAGTAGAGAAAGGGGACCTCTGCTGGCCGAGGTAATTGGATAGTAGTTGGCTAGTGCTGATAAATATCTCCTGAAGGATTATATTGATAGCCTTAAGGCTGAGTCAAAGGTTTGTGTTTTAACCAAAACAGCCCTGGCCTTGACCAGAATAGACAGTCTGAGCACCAAGTCTTGAGCCCCTAAGCCCCTAAGACTGTGGGTAACACTTGTCTGAAAACAGATGATCTGCCAGTATTGGAGCTGTGACACAGATCTACAGGTTTGTGTCCTTTCCATATGGTAACAATTTCCATATAATGTAATGGGTCTTCTGGGACTGGAAAAATAGTTCCAGTTGTTATGGCTGTCCTAGCCAGGGAGCCCATTAGATTTTGCTCCTAACAAAGAAACAGAAAGTAGCAACATTGACAGTGGGGTTAGGTGTGGGATAAGTAGTTTAACTGAGTCACTATTTAACAATTCCAACTGTGGATTAACATTCTGTCAGTGTACTAAAGAGAGTTAGGAGCTCTTGTATTGAAATTGACTTTGTTCTCTGTGATCTCTGTTTCATTGTATATGACTTGTTCACAGTATGTGTATAAAGTCTAATAGAAGTGTCTGGCTTCTTAAAAAAAAATTGCAATATAATGAATTTCAGCCTCCCTACTAGTTCCATGTATATATAGTAGTATGTAACTGGATGACTAGTTTATTCTTAAAACTTATATGTAAACACATTTATTACTTGTTAACTAGTATTTCTTTTTCCAGTTTCTCTTCAGCAACGGGTAGCAGAATTGGAAAAAATTAATGCAGAATTTTTACGTGCACAGCAGCAGCTTGAGCAAGAATTTAATCAAAAGAGAGCAAAATTTAAGGAGCTATATTTGGCTAAAGAGGGTAAGTTCGCCAGTCTCTTTCCCAACTTCCCTGCCAAAACTTTTAAATGTTAAATGTTAAGTTTCTGATAGTACAGTGTTTGTGATTGAATGAACCATGAGAGAGAGAGAGAGAGAGAGAGAGAGAGAGAGAGAGAGAGAGAGAGTGTGATATAAAAATAATGCCTTTTGGAACTAGGGTTTTCAGTAGAGTTGGGGAGCAAGTGGAAAATGCATCATTAAGGTTTGTTTGTTTTCTGACATTAATGATATTTAGTTGTAATTGGCTGCTTTAACACTTGAGATACAGTCCCTGGGTATGTTGTGTAGAAACTGACATTTCGTGGAATTTACTGAACAAGTGTTCAATTATTTTCTCAGTACATACTGCTAAGTACCTACTTTGTGAAATACATTGTATGTAGATGCTGGGCATACAATGGGAACAAAATTCATGTGATCCTTTAGGTTGATTGAACTGAAGATGAGGAAAACATATAGAGTCATTGTGTTATCAGTTGTTAAATGAGTGTTTAAATAAAGTAAATCTTGTGGGGGATATAATTTAGGAGGGTCAGGGAAGGTGTTTACATTCTAGCTATTGGCCTAGAAGCAGTGTAGATATGGTTTCCATGGTGTCATTGTGGAACAACTGCAGCAGCATCAGGCTTTCCTGGGAACCTTCTTAGGAGTACACATACTTGGGTCGTATCCCACATTTGCTGAGTCAGGAACTGGGGTGAGGGTCCAGTGGTCCAATGGCTGGTGTTTTAACAAGCTTCCAAGGTGATTCAGCTTCAGAGTTTCTGACTAGGATTCTGGGGTCCCACAGTTTGCATTTTTTTTTTTTTTTTTTTTTTTGGTTTTTCGAGACAGGGTTTCTCTGTGTAGCTTTGTGCCTTTTCCTGGAACTCACTTGGTAGCCCAGGCTGGCCTCGAACTCACAGAGATCCGCCTGGCTCTGCCTCCCGAGTGCTGGGATTAAAGGCGTGCGCCACCACCGCCCGGCTACAGTTTGCATTTTTAACAAGTTACTTGGTGATGCTGTAGCACACATTGAGAATCACTAGCCTAAAGCAATATCTTTTGCATTTTTTAATTGAAAATTTTTGTTGAGATAGATTCATGTATCCCAGGCTGGCCATGAACTGGTTACATGTATAATTGAGGATGACCCTGAAGTTCTGATCCTTCTACCTTTACCTCCTGGGTGCTAGGTTATTAGTTTGGTGCTTAAGTTTGAACCCAGGCTTCATGCATGCTAGGCTGTATCTTAAACTCCTAAAGTAACATCTTGGGCTTGAAAGTCTTTAAGAAAATAATCTGTGTTCTATAACAAAACTATGCATATAACTAGATGTAGTGAGACATACTTTTAACCCAGCACTCCCCTTCCTCTCCCTCCCCTCCCTTCCATTTCCTACCTTTCTTTCCCCTTATCCTTTTCCATCCTTTGCTTCAGATAGAGGTTCATGTAGCTCAGTTTGGCCTTGGACTCTTCCTGATCCTCCTGTCTCTATTCCCAAGTACTGGGATTACAGATGTGTAGTACCTTGCTTGGTTTAAGTGGTGCTGGGAATTGAACCCAGGGCCTTGTGCATGCCAAGTAAACACTCTACTGAGTTGTGTTCCCAGCCCCTGGTTCTTACACATATGCTCATGCAAATGTGTTAAGTACCCTCCCTTTTCTTTGCTGTACAGGGGATCAGATCTGGAGCCATGTACATTCTAGTCAAGCATTCTATTCCTAGGGTATCCCAGTCTCTCTTCCTTTTAAAGTTTTTTTCTACCTTCGATTGACAAAGTAAACTCTGAGCAATGATTTGAAGATGACCTGTTAATAAGTACATTTAATGCATATATATATATATATATATATATATATATATATATATATATATATAAAAGGTCCTTCTAGGATTTCTCTGATGCTAAGTTCAAACTCAGTATGGTCATGGTTAATACCATCTTTTTCCTCCTTTTACTTCTTACGTGAATATGTTGGTTATCCTCTACAGATTCTTCAGGGGTTTTTTTTGAATAATTTTTGTTTTTATTTTATGTGCATATATTATGCATTTTGCCTGCATGTATTCCAGATCTTAGAATTACAGACAATTTTGAGCTGACATGTGGGTTCTGGGAATTGAACTCAGGTCTTCTAGAAGAGCAGTCAGTGCTCTTAACCACTGAGCCATCTCTCCAGCCCCAGTTTTTGGTTTTTCGAGACAGGGTTTTTCTGTGTAACAGCTCTGGCTGTACTGGAACTTGCTTTGTAGACCGGGCTGGCCTTGAACTCACAGAGATCCACCTGCCTCTGCCTCCTGAGTGCTGGGATTAAAGTTGTGTACAACCACCTAGCTTTTTTTTTTTTTAAGCTTATTTATTATTTAATTATTTATTTTTATGTGTATGGGTACTTTGCCTATATGTCTGTATACTATGTGTGTCTAGTGACTGTGGAGACCAGAAGAGGGCATAGGATCCCCTGGGACAGGAATTAAAGACAATTGTGAGGTTTCATGTGAATGCTGGAGATTGAACCTGTGTCCTAGTTTTTCTTTATTCAACAAATCGAAGTTAGGGTTTTTTTTTTTTTGTTGTTGTTTTGTTTTGTTTTTCGAGACAGGGTTTCTCTGTGTAGTTTTGGTGCCTGTCCTGAATCTCTGTCTATAGACCAGGCTGGCCTCGAACTCACAGAGATCCACTTGCCTCTGCCTCCCGAGTGCTGGGATTAAAGGCGTGTGCCACCACCGCCTGGTGAAGTTAGTTTTGAAAGCTTGTTTGATTTGTTTTCCATTTCCCTTTGTTCCCAAATAAAGCTCTTAGGTTTTCCTATTTTCATTGACATTATTTTCTATAAATTTTTGTAAAAAAACAAAAACAAAAACAAAAACAAAACCACCAAAAAACAAAAATAAGAACTCCTCCCACTCCGTCCTGCCCTCCCTTCCTTTCTTTTTTATTATGTGTATGGGAATGAGTGTATGTGCTAGTGCATGCAGTGGAGGTCAGAGGACACCTTTGTGGAGTTCAGTCTCTGCTTCTACCTCTTCTCAGGTTTTGGGATCAAATTTAGGCCATCAGGCATTAGCAGCAGGTGCTTTTACCCACCGAACCATCTCATTGACCTACAGCCTCTCATTTCCAACATGTATTATCAGTTTTATAGCTGAATTAAACAGCTTTGATATGGTTTAGTTAAAAATACTTGCGCTAAACCAGTGGGTGGTGATGGCACATGGCTTTAATCCCAGTACTTGGGAGGCAGAGGCAGGCGGATCTCTGACTTTGAGGCCAGCCTGATCTACAAAGCAAGTTCCAGTACAGCCAGGGCAGTTACACAGGGGAAACCCTGTCTTGAAAAACCACAAAAACAAAACAAAACAAAAAAAAGTGCTATGTTAAAATTAATTACCTCAGTTAATTGTACTTTATTAGCTGACATTGTTACAAGTTTCAGCTGGCCATGGAGAACACAGAGGCAGCTTTTTACAAAATGACAGAAGGAATTCTATGGTCCTTTCTTGGTGGCCTTCCTAAAGGCAACACATGTGATATATAAGACATCAGTATTGATTATTTCATTTTTATCGTGGACACTTGCACACATCATAATAAAAATCAAATTTAAAACTTTCTTTTCTCTGTGAGTAAGGCTCGTTGTAGTGGGTAACCATTCCAGCTTTGACCTGGAAGCTCCAACCCCCATTTAGGCTTCGGTAATGGTCACACCTACAAGGCGGGGCTGAGAGAGGATGCTGAAGACCCGGGTTCCAGATGCACAGATGCACGGGCTCTCTTAGTTCCTGGACCTTGGATGCTGGAGGTAGACCACGAATTTAAAACATCTGTCGTGCCAGGCGGTGGTGGCGCATGCCTTTAATCCCAGCACTCGGGAGGCAGAGCCAGGCGGATCTCTGTGAGTTCGAGGCCAGCCTGGGCTACCAAGTGAGTCCTAGGAAAGGCACAAAGCTACACAGAGAAACCCTGTCTCGAAAAAACCAAAAAAAAAAAAACAAAACAAAACATCTGTCTTACGTATGTGGAATGTATCCAATATGTAACTACTGCTTCCTTTATATTTTTAAAGTCCCTTGTTGAAATTGGTTATAATGTATATGTTATATATGGCTCGGGGTGTGTGTCATCTGCTGGCTTCTCATGGGTGATAACAGGATAAGCCATTGTATGAGAGCCATTTGGAGATGTTACAACCTGTATGGTCTTGCCCTTCTGCTTATTAGGTCCCTTGTCATGTTTATTGAGAGTTTCCTCCAGGGCTTACAAACGAGCACCTAGGGTCTCTTCTAGGGAGTAAACCTCCTCTCTTGCAAGGGATTCCAGATTTCTCATGGAATCATGGAAGTTTTTATGTTCTTTTGAAACACATGATTCCATGGACCTTATCAATTAATGATAATCTTTCTTCCTTATATAGTGTCTGAGTAGCCACAACTTCTGGAGAGTTAGTGTTCTATCCATTAAATATTCATATTTATTATCAATAAAATCAATTTTGGGTACAAGCCTGTTTTGTAAATTCTGGTTAGCAGATTCCAGAGAAAGAATATTTTTATGTAAATCCTGGTTAGCAGATTCCAGAGAAAGAATCTTTTTCTGTAAGCCTTCATGGTCTGTCAAATACTCTAGGCCTGTAGCCAATTTGAATGCACCAACAATGCTGAGAAACATTCAGCGACTGTCCAGGCTGCCAGCTGTCTCTGTCTACTCTTGCAAGATTCCTGAAAGTTGCTTGGATCCATCTTCCATTTCTCAGATACCATTATATTCCTTCTCAGGTCTTTGATGAGACTGAAGACTAGCAGTTATAGTTACAACTTAGTGTATGTATGTATATATATATATAAAATCTTAGATAGAATATATTAAGTATTAGATTCAGATTCTTTAGGATAGGACACCTTTTGGAATGATCTTTGTAACATGCCATTTACCCACACTCTAGACTTCCCTGGATTTTAGTATTTGTTTCTTGCTTGATATTGTTTATATTGATTG